GGGGGGGGGGGGGGGGGGGGGGGGGGGGGGAGAGGGCCTAGCTGCACCCTCCTCTCTCTGCAATAATTTCCAAAGACTTATAAAGTCTGGTACCAAATACCACAATTCACAAGCATTGTTTAGGAGCAAGTGGCATGCAATATAATGCTTTATAATGCTGTATTAAAGAAAACTTTGCAGCTGCAAAAGTAAGCTGAATTACGCTATCATACATTAAAAGGATTTATACTATATACAATAAAATATGTTATAATATATATGCTGAATAGCAAAAGACTGTAGCTTTTCTTAAACTGTTCTGTTCGGCATTTAACTAGTGATAAATTCCGCTTTTGTCTCAAGTAAGCACACCCATATAGCGTAATTGTCATATTAAATAATGACTATTAAATACAACTTAAGCTAAAGTTAGGAATATATCAAGCATTACTGCATGATTCTGTAATCTGTACAATTGACAATGATGCCACAAGATACGAATTTTATACAATTCGTTTTGTTCTGTGTAGGATTCCTTACAGCTCTACTGATAAAAAATTTAAACAATCAGAATAGACAACTTGCAATCTTGCATGTTAGACTAATTTTTTATTTAGGCAAAAAAAGTAAATTCCCGTAAAGAACTTATTAAAATCAGTAAAATTGCAAAATTTGGTTACGAAATGTTGTAAAATGCAGAAAATATAGCCTATATACTGAAAATATGCAAACTTCGCAAGGCTATATTTTCTGCATTTTACAACTATTCGCAACCAAATTTTGCAATTTTACTAATTTCATTTTTTCTTTTTAACTGTTGTGTTTTATTCCCTTCTCTTTACTTTGATTAAAATTTAGTCTAACATGCAAGTTGTCCATTGATAGTTATAACTGTACACTGTACATGTCATAACTTGGAACTTTTCATTTAATCAAGTCACCCATGCATGCATGCATGCACGTTCTGAAAGATTCGCATATCTTAGAGCCTTAAATGGACACCGAACCCCCTTCCGCATATACATTTTGAAAATTACGCCCCCTAACAGCCTAGACCTAGACCTTCTAGTCTTATTTATATTTTTTTTAATATTCAGCGCTTTTTCACATGAAAAGACTGGGACTAGGTGATTTGGGGGCGGGGCGGAGGAAGCAAGCCTAGATGGCCTAGTGGATTTCCCAACAACAAGGCCAAAACTGCCCTGAAACTGTCCTGGTTGCGAAATGCCCAATTATTGCGTTCTCAAACAGAATTATTTGCAACTTAACGGCGAATTTAAACCGATACAGGTAAAATAAACTCATTTATAGTATAAACTTACTATTTTTATTTGTATACACGTCTAGAAAATCGGGTTTTTTATCATAATGTTCGAAGCAACACTATTATTTAATATGTTGACAAGGTGCAGCGAAAGCACAAAAATGAGTCAAAATATATACCAAAAGTAGAATCTTTCATGAAATTTTGTCTTACACACAACTACATTAATATATATTTTCTCAATTTTGGCAAGAAGCAGTCTTGTGTTTGTAAAATATAGAAACACATATACAATAAATTATAATTTATTAAATAAAACGGATACATATATTATTAGCTCGTACAGTACTGTATATAAAAACGTACGTTGTTTACAAATGGTATATTCGTAATGTTTGAACAATAATTTCAAAATCCTCATTCCCAATTCGCAAATATAGTTATTCAAAGCAAAACAGTAGATTGTCTTGCGAATAAAAGAATTATTATTTTGTGCTTTCGCTTCACCTTGTCAACATAATAGTTTTGCTTCAAACTTTATGATAAAAAACCCGATTTTCTAGACGTGTATAAAAATAAAAATAGTAAGTTTATACTATAAATGAGTTTATTTTACCTGTATCGGTTTAAATTCGCTGTTAAGTTGCAAATAATTCTGTTTGAGAACGCAATAATTGGGCATTTCGCAATCAGGGCAGTTTCAGGGCAGTTTCAGGGCAGTTTCAAGGCAGTTTTGGCCTTGTTGTTGGGAAATCCACTAGGCCTTCTATTTTTTCGCTTGCGTCAGGCTTGTGTCCTTCCTCCGCCACGCCCCCAAATCAGCTAGTCCCAGTCTTTTCATGTGAAAAAGCGCTGAATATTAAAAATATATCAAAAATAGAAGGCCTAGGTCTAGGCTGGCCCC